GGTCAGGGGGTGGCGGGTGACGGGCGGGGGGTTCGCCATCCGCACAGTGCCCGCCCCTTCGAGCAAGCTGCTGGGGTCGGGTGCGGGCCTTTCCTCACCGGGGAGGTTTGATGCGCGCTGGGCGTTTCGAGGAAGGGGCGCAGTAGCTGCGTGACTTGGGGACCGGGTGCCACAAGCAGCACCTGCAGGGGTGGACGGTGCTGACTGTTTGCTGGGATTGCTCGGGGGGCGCCGCGCCTCTGCAGCCCCCGACCTGCCGTGTGCGCCGTAGCGGTTCAGGGCACAGGCTAACAGAGTGCCGCCTCCTCAGATACCACCGCTCCACACAAGCCTCTGACAACATCCTGCCCTGTCCCCAAGCCAGATCTGCGCTAGGAACCAAAGCCTCACTGCTAAATTTAACTGGGACCCAAACCTCACAGACCAAACCTCGTTACTAATGCCGACCTCGCTGCTTTGTTGTGGGGCCGTGCAAATAACTGCCTATTTATAGGTCTTCTAGCTTGAGCATCGTTTGTCCAGATGTAGTCTCCTGTGGCAGCCTGGCTAAGAAAAGCCTGTTCAGAGGCTGGATTGTACTGAAAAGTGGCTGTCCTGTATTTAGCAGGCAGGCGGGCTTCATAAAGAGATTTGTGGTTGGATGTGGGAGAGGCGACGGCAAGCGTTCAAAACTCCCTTTTGCTTCCTGGAAGGACCATGGCAGCCCCAGAAAACAGATCAGCTGCCCTTGCTGTCATCAGGGTGCTTGCTGAGAGCAGCAAAGACAGGAGGAGACACGGCCACAGAAAGCGCTGGCACGCTGCTGGCTGTGCCCCTGCTAGGACAGCCCAGGGTTGGTTCATATGGGCCTGTTGCTCCTGCCACCGCAAGCCCTGGATCTTCCATGAGAGCATGCTTCCCGCCTTGGCATGCAGGTGTGAGCTTCTCCAAAGGCACAGGCAGGCCTCGACTGCCCCAGAAAGCCAATTTCTTGCAAAAATATCAGGTACTAAATGGCATGAATGTATACCCCCATGGTCCTCCAGAAAATGGGATGGAGAGAACTGGGCCATGTCAGGAAGGGGACTGTGGCACACTACAGGGCTTCACTGAGCTGGCTTACAATCAAGCAGGGCATTAAAAAAGCTGCTTGTGGGGGAACCTCCCTAGACTTTACATGGAGGACATGATAGACAGGGAAGATGGAGACTTGTTTGTGCCCTACATGACACTTGATGGCACAGGGCCCTGCTTCTGCACAGGGCCTGAGGATCAAACCTTCCCCTTGCCAGCTACCTCTACTACTAATTCACTCTTATCAGCACTGACTTAAAAGCAGAGCACCACCCAGAGCCCTGACACGAGCAGGTGCCGCTCCAACTGGAATCAGTGGTGAGCAGCGGCGCCTACCCCCGAGGGCTCACTTGAATCTGGGGAGTTTTCCAACCATTCAGCAGACGTGTAGGGCTGTGCTGGGGGACGGATGCTGCTGGAACAGAGCGTGCAGGAGAAAATCTGTGCTCTTCTCCGTCAGCAGCTGGGTGGAACAAGTTCCGGACACTGGAATCAGGATTCAAAAGAGACGCTGCAGGTTGCTAAACGCTTGCAGGAATCCAGTTTGGCTGGTTACTGCCTGCACCATTTCAACATGCCAGTGACATTTAAGGGAGGCTATCTAACAAGCATCTCTCTTCCTCATGGACAATGTACCAAAGTGGCTGTGAAAAGCCCAGCGGAGCTAGTTAGGATGCAAAGGGCTTGTTTGGAAGGACGACCAATGGAGCTGGAAAAGAAACGTTAACATCACAGAGCTCATTTTTTTTCTGGACAGATGGGCAATGTCTCCTTGCCTCTGTTGCAAGCCACCTCTCCTCTTTAAGTGCTATGGCAGGCTGGTTGGACTGCAGCTTCAAAAGGCTTTTACGTAGGAAGCTTCAGTCGAAAGTTTTGAGGGACAAAGGCAAGGGAGAGCCAGGGAGTGGTGACGAACTCTGGCCAAGGATAGGTAGTTTGAACCCATGCCTGGTAGAGAGTGGTCCCCAGCTCCAAGTCAGTTAATCTGTGGACGGTTTGTCCTGCGGATCTCAAGGATGGCTGGAATTACCTGGCTTGTAGGTGCTTCATGAGCAGGACAGCGTTGGGCCTTTGGATGCATCAAACACCATTTAATAGGGGGATACAGATGTCCCATGAAAGGGGCTCTCTGTGGGCTCCTTTCCTTCTCCTGCATAACCCAAAACACTGCACAGCCCCAGGCCTGGAAATGGTGCTGAAGTTGTTGCTAGAAAAGTCCTGGAGTTAACAACAGCAGGAGGGTGTGGGGAGTGGAAGGTGGCCCAGGGCTCCCTGTCCTTTTCTCTGTCACAGGCATCCTGCTTGCCCTCAGGCAAGTCATCAAGTCTCCCTGCTCATCAGGGCATAACACAAAATGTGCTCAGAGGCTACAGTATTGAGGCAGCCCCTACAGATACCTCATAGAGATGGGGAGGGGGGTCTGTACTTGTTTCCTGCTCAGTCTATCAGACCACCGGGGCCTGCAGCAATACATGCATCAAGACCATACAAAGCTGATAGGGGCTGGCCTGGGCCGTCTAGGAGATTTTCAATGTTCAGATGGGTCCATACGATTACCTGGCTGGAGTCACGTGACCCCAGTGCTCTTTCTTGCCCAGGGCAGGGGGTCGGACTTGGATGATCTACTGACCCTAAAAAAATCTATGAAATCTATTATTCTAAGAGCTGTTGTTTGGCAGGGCAGGGGACTGGGTTTGGTAACAGGAGGTGTCTCAATGGCTGTAAATCTTTATGATGTACCCTGCTGAATAAAGGCAGGATGACAGCCAGAGACAAAGGGAAGAATGGTGACAGCACCACAGCACACAGGTCACTCAGGCGCAGGGTAAAACAGAGACCCTTTCCCAGTCTGTGCCCAAATGAGACACTCCATTCACCAGAGGTGTCTCAGCAAGCCATCCCCCCCCGCACAGCAGAAGTTTCCTCTCTGTTCTTACACACCTGGAAAAGAGGAGCACTGAACATGGGGCACGTGTGAG